AGGTGGCCCATTTTTAGAAAGTTTCATCCCAGATAACTGACCTGAGTTCAAGGAAGTTGTGACTAGTGCAGAAAGCAGCTCAGCAACAATAATGAAGAGATAGGGGGACAGAGGATCCCCCTGTCTAATTCCCCTTGAAGGCTGCACAAAACCACTCACTTGGCCATTGATTTTAAAAGAGTAGGAACAAGAGGAAATACAGATCATAATCAAATGAACAAATTCAGCAGAGAACCCCATCTGAAGCATAATCTTCTTAATACACAGCCACTCCACGCGGTCAAATGCTTTAATCAGATCTAACTTTATAGCCATGAAGTGATTTTTCCCAGAGTGGTGTCTGTTAATGAAATGGAAAGCTTCTTGTGCTATTATAACATTGTCAAGCAACTGTCTCCCATCAATGAAAGCAGACTGGAAGTCACTTATGCATGTTTGCAGACAATCTTTGAGTCTTAAAGCAAGCAACTTAGACAGAGTTTTGTAGACCACAGTGCACAAACTAATTGGCCTAAACTGGGAAATTGAATCAGGGTTGAGACATTTAGGGATAAGGGTGACTATAGTATGGTTCCAGTATTTCAGCAACTGACCACTTTCAAAAAAACTTTGAATAGCAGGAACAAGATCAGATTTAATAAGATTCCAGAATTTTTGATAAAAAACAGCTGACATACCATCTTCACCAGGGGTTTTATCAGGATCAAGGCTGAAGAGAGCCTCTTTGATTTCTTTTTCCTGGACTGTCTTGAGGAGCTTTTTGTTCATCTCAGAGGTAATAGAAGGAGGAATAAGATGCAGAATGCTTTCACCACCCCAAGATCCTCCAGAAGAAAAAAGGTTGGCATAGAAACTGGAAATATGAGACTGAATATCCTGCTGAGTTAAGCATTCCCTGCCTTGTGGAGTTATTAATCTGGAGATGGCATTCAATCTTCTCCGTTGAAGAGTGTAAGCATGGAAGAACCTGGTATTGTTGTCCCCATCCTTTAGCCATTTTACTTTAGCTTTCTGCTGCCAGTAGAGCTCTTCAGAGTGATGAGCCTTCTCAAGCTCAGATTTAGTAGCCGTCCAATCCTCCCAGTTGTCAGCAAGGTTTGAGGTTCTCAAAAGCTCAAGCTTGGCAGTTAAATGATCTATTTTTGATTGGTTCTCAGATTTGAATTTAGCACTCCAGCGGATAAGGGCCTGCCTTGTACATTTGATTTTTTCTTTTAGAACATAAAATGGAGTGCCTGAGTGACTTTGAGACCAAGCAGCCTTGACCACTTCTTTAAGATCTTCTCTGAGCAACCAACGTTTATCAAAGTGAAATCTGCGGAAACTTTTGAGAGAAGGAGCACCGGAGTTGAGAAGGAGAAGAGAATGATCTGAAGCACTGCGAGTTAAGGTAGTGATACAAGCATTGGGATGGAGTTGGAGCCAATCCATAGAACCGAAACCTCGATCGAGCTTCTCCTGAATGAGCCCTTCAGAGAATCTGTGGTTACACCAAGTATAAGGGAAACCATGCATCCTGATTTCCTCCATAGACATCGAGTTGATAAAGTTATTGAACCCAGCAAGGCTGTTGACACTTCTTGGAATACCTCCCAGTTTTTCAGAGGTGGAGCATATGTCGTTCCAGTCTCCTATCATGAACCAAGTATCTTTCCATTTGAGTTTCTCCTCTTCAAGCAGCTTCCATTGCTCAGCTCTAACAGCCGCATACGGACTAAGGTAAACAAAAACTGCCCAACTCAGCTCTTCATTGTTAACAGAGTATTCCACGGCTATACTGCAGTCATGGCAAATAATTTGCGCTATCGAAACTTCGGTAGACCAAAGGAGAAGAAGCCCACCACTCAAACCAACCGGATCTACCAACTTATAACGATCAAGAAATCCCAGCTTACGAACGACCGTAGTGACAAAGGAAGAAGAATTTTTGGTTTCAGAAATAAAAAAGAAATATGGGTGGTGAGATCTAAAAGTCTCTTTGATTTGGGAAACCGTCGAGGGCCCACCCAGTCCTCGACAGTTCCACACCGCGGCTAACATTGATCACTTGGGCGCCACTCAAGGCTGGCCGCCTCCACCTTCGATGATTTAAATTTTTTCAACAAATCAGAATTCCTCCTGTCAGCCACTTCATCTTCCTGCTCATAAATTTCAGGGGCAGTTCTTTTCTTCTCAGTGGTAATTGCCTTGGAGGGAACTAAGGTGTCAGAATTCC